GATACTCTCTTATCTGTGCATAAGCTGTGCGAGTCCCCAGCATGCGGGAATATCAAAGGAATAATATTATTAAAGATCCTCGGTATTGCCCCCACAGTTAACACGTCAGAAGAGTTGCTATTTTTTTCCCCAGCATCTGTCGGTGTTCTCTAGATTGACATTCTGGGATAACAAGATAGAGCGAATGAACGTGTAAGTCTTGATTGCTTTGTTAACACCAAGCGGGGATATTCATCTATATTGAATAATTCGGTGCATTATTATTCGGTAAATGCTCCTGTTGCATAGAGGCCCTGCAGCATAGAGGCTCTGCAGCATAGAGGTTCTGCAGCATAGAGGCTCTGCAACATAGAGGCTCTGCAGCATAGAGGCTCTGCAGCATAGAGGCCCTGCAGCATAGAGGCCGTGTCTCTTATACACATCTAGATGTGTATAAGAGACAGCCTCACTTGAGGGGAATCACGAGGGGAAGCATGATAATTTTCCTCCTCAGCTGGGGCGTCATCGCCGGTAATGGATTTGTCGGGGGACACGAGTCCCTTTTGTGATGTTATAAGCAGAGGGCGNGGCGCTGTACCGTGAGTGGTGCTGCACCGTGAGTGGCGCTGTACCGTGAGTGGCGCTGTATCGCGAGTGCTCAACCAACTTATAACACTATGCTGGAAAAATATTTGTCGTTTCCTAACGTAATTATATTCAAAATTATTATTATATTTAATATGTTATCTTCAGAAACGTTATTCCTTTGCATATTGCATATCGCCATTATATGGATCGAATTTTTTCCTGTTAAAACTTAAAGGCTCCGAAGAATTCAAATCCTTTACGCGGTCAGCATTGCAAGTGTCAGGAACCCCAACCATACTTAGATATATACAATATATGTATTTATATCTCATCAAACATGCGGAGACATTTATGTATATATATCTCATCAACCATACGAAGATATTTATGTATATATATCTCATCAACCATACGGAGATATTTATGTATATATATCTCGTCAACCATACGGAGATATTTATGTATATTTATCCCATCAACCATACGGAGATATTTATGTATATTTATCCAATCAACCATACGGAGATATTTATGTATATTTATCCAATCAGCCATGCGGAGATGTATCGGAGCTGAGCCGGTCGTGAAATTTTGGCAGTGCAAATCACTCGTCTTTCATGGCTCGTGTAAATCTCGCGTATTTGTTTCGCAAGTAAACAATATTCAATAGCATCACTCGATACCATAGATGATATCCATACTGCTGGCTTTGGATTTCTTTTGATCCTTTTTCGAAATCCACGCTTTGGAATGGGAAAGTTGAGAGAATCCATTTATTGGCTGCAAACTTTTTCGTGCTCGTGCTCGTCGTGTGCGTTTTTATTTATTTTTTCTTGTCTTAACTGTAAACTCTATTTCGAAGTCATCTGTTCACAATCTGAAGGGGAGGAAGCGGGGGAAGCCGGGGTTGTTTTTCTACAGCTTCCTGATTGGAAAGCTACGCTGTTTGTCCAGCTGTGTAACCACAGCCAGTCTTGACCCAGAGCTCTCTCGCTGCAGCCTTAAACTGACAGAAAAACTTCTATCAGGTAAATGTTTTTCGAATCGATTCAGTGTCAATGTTTATAATAGGCTTGAGGATTTTACACATCAACACAAGAATGCCAAGCAATATAGCCTCAGATTCTATCCATACTTACCCGACCTGTTCAATTGGTAATGAAGTTTTCAATAAAAGCTCTGGCTCGGGAGATTACTCGCTGCTTACCTTTTGTTGAAGCTTTCATGAAGTTTACGCTTTCAAAAACTGCAGTCTTGTTGCAGTTCTATTATTGACTGCTTCAAACTTGGATGTCATTGAGCGAAGACCCCCAATTCTGTAAATTCAGTTAATAAATGCAGTTAATAACTGCAATAAATTCAATAATAACTTCTCAGAAGGCTTTTCAAAAACTGCAGTCTTGCTGCAGTTCTATTATTAACTGCTTCAAACTTGGATGTTATTGAGCAGAGAAAATCCCTAACTAAGAGCCCGCTCTGGACATCTTAGCCCAGGTTTTTACGTCAGGGTCGTTTCTACTATGTAGTTCACATCCAGAGCTGACTGGCGCAATTAGTATTGACAGTGAATTTTCACTGGAATATAACAAGTATTTTAAAGTATTACACTACTCAATTGCAAGTCTAATCCTGCGTCGATGTAATTAATAATCACCACGGTTAAAATTTACACTTACATTTCTTTGAATCATTTTCACTAGCATAAATTTTTCATAAGCAGTCCAATATATTCCAGGTATGATGAACACAACGCACGTGCTGGTTCAGTCATTTCGTCTTGTTTCAGGTTCAGAAATTATGCTAAATCTCAATCACGGCTGCCATGTCAGCTGCAAATTGCGTTCAGGCGACGAATGCTCCACGTGACTCCTGCTGACACTAGAGCTGCCTCACTCCGAGGCTGACGCCCGCCTCACGTGACTCCTGCTGACACTAGAGCTGCCTCACTCCGAGGCTGACGCCCGCCTCACGTGACTCCTGCTGACACTAGAGCTGTCATTATATGGCCGCAAGATTTCGACTGTGGACGATGCTTTTCAATTAACTCGTCCACTGGTTTGCATCAACTCGTTCTTTCGTTTTGCATCAATTCGTTCCTTCGTATACGGTAAATTAAAGTACATTTCTGAGAAAGTTTTTCGTTTTCCTATCCTAAATTTATTCAAGCTGTTACACGAGACTATATGATGATGCCATGTCTTATTATTGACAAATTTATCTATGTATGTCCGTAAAATTATTGCACCCTCATAATTGTTAACTTCATAGTTTATTTGTAGCCTGCATTAAAAACAAATTATGTAGCTTCTTTTGAAGTTTCATTAAACGAATTAGCGTTGCGTAAGTATATACGAATATGACTTAAAATCATAATCGTCGTAAAATCATAATCGTTATTATTACGGTAGCGGTTGCCCATTAATTCCTGCCTGTCGGCAGGACAACTCTACGTTCTGTCGCGGTCACGGGCTGGGGCGGCTTTCCGCTGCTCTTTATTATATTCAGGCGGCAGATCTAAACAAAGCGATCATAGCGAACAAATGACGTGGCTTTAACATTAGGCGCGGCTTGTGCAGTACATAATATAGCACGACCATGAGGGCTCGACATCATACATACATCATGCATCATATGGCTCGACCATGAGTGACATAATCACTCCTTCACTTTATGGCTGCTGCTGCTTTCAGGTGCTTTCTCTCGCGCGCTGCTGATGAAATCTGATGCATTCGATCACTTACTTCATCGTCATGAAGGCTACGGATAAACGAGCTTCAGCATAAATATATTTGCTTCATAATGCAGTATTACAGAACATTAACGAGATCTCTATACAGCGGCGCAGAGCTACTGGTCTCGAGTCTAAGGTAATTGATTTAATTAAATCTGTACGGTGATCCTGATCGTGTTACGGTGGAGGTGCGGACGGTTATATACTGATGGTCGATTATGCAGCAGTTGTAATTATATGTTGAGATTTATGTCTATCTGGAAATTAGACATTTCAATGCGAGAATTTTTAAGAACAGTGATCCAATTTAAGACTTTTTGTGTGCATTCTTAAAGTTATTTCTACTGGGCGATAGTTATAACGACGAGGCGACACGCACCAACAGAGTCGAAAGGGTAAAAATATTACACATTCTACTAGGGCTAGGGTTTTGTTAAATTAAAAACTAAATGAATTATATATTTCTATGCACACTACCAGTATTCAGTTTGCTGGGATCGACACTATTCTCTTGAGGAAACAATTCATTGTTAAATTAGATGACTTTTCTCAGGATAAGTATGGTCTCGACCTTCTAAAAGTTATTTTCGGTCACTGGCCAACAAACGTTTATTCTGCTTCACGTGACGTTTAACACGTGGTCACTTCCATGAGGTTAGCAAGTCAACAAGTGATGGCGTCGTGAAAATGCCTGTTAATAATGAACCCTGGTTTATATTTGTCTATTTTTCTCAATATCAAAGGCTTGGCAGGCGACGATAAGCGCCAGTAGTCGTTGTAACTTCTTGTTCCCTCGCCAGGTGATTATCACGGCGGGTGCTACAGAGGGGAAAGTTCGGGAGTGTTTTGGCGCGGTTCCGTTCTTTGTTGCGACGCAAATTGAAATTCCGAAGCAGGAGTGACGAGCTCAGCGGTGACAGAGGACCTCGTCGGGCGACGCTTGGTCGTAAACCTGGCCAATTGCAACTCTTGGTCCCCTTTTTGGGGACCAGCCCTTTTTGCTTATCTTGTTCACCTTAAGAGAGTCTCGTTAACTTTTCCTTCCATGAACACCGTTTTATCTTAGATAAATAATGTTTCTTGTAATGTTGCTCTATTGCTCTAAGAGAAATTATATACGTGCAAGAATTGCAACTTACATGTATGCAATTAAGATGTAGCGTGCACACTCAACTTATGCATTATTAGAAAATTCCAATGCCGCATGAAGGAACTGTTGCAATGATTTCCATTTGTTAGAAAGCTTAAACCGTGCGCAGTTTCCTCTAAGCATGATCCGACTAATCAAGGCAAAAATAATTTTGTCCCTCAGGTGATTCAGGGATCATGAATCATTAATACATCTCACCTCAACGGACATTATTTTATCATGTTTTCCATCACTGTCGTAACGGATCTTAACGAAAAACGATCGTATTTGCATCATTAAACCTTCAGTGTATCGTAGCCAGCGAGCACCTGCACAACTTTCTATGGCAGTCAGCTGAGCCAGGGATCATAAATCACACCAAAACATATTGTATTATTCTCGCCATTGCTGTCCTAAAGGATCTTATTGAAAAATAATGCATTTATTTCATTAAACTTTGAGCTCAGCATAGCTAGCGAGCACCCGCACAACGTTCTAATGAGTTGACTGCGGTGCGCAGGCTCCATGCAGTGGCCGAGCATGACGTTCTAATGAGTTGACTGCGGTGCGCAGGTTCCATGCAGTGGCTGAGGGTCGAGGAAGAGGGGCGAGTGAGGGCCTCCTCAGCACCCACGTCTCGTCGCACGTCCTCCAACATCTACAACTCCTCCGTGAGTATAGATCTTGCAAATTTTTTATAGGTTGAAATAATAATAAATAATATTCATTACCTTATTAGTTTTCAGCTAGGTATCTCTTCTTAACGGGCTGCTGAAAATACTATTTACAAAGCGTGAGAATACATTTTGTCACGCGCTTACGTTTGGAATTTTCATATTTGCTACTCGTATTAGAGGCAGCCTTCCTCATAATCTCTTCTGCCCTCACGAGGATGGATGTTAATAAACATTCTATTATTTGCAGTACAAATGTTTTGCGCGTCATTGTATACAAAGCCAAGCAAAGCTAACACAGCAATATTGCATCATAACGTAATGAAGATTCCCCTTATTAAGGCTGGTTCTGTCAAGGAATAACTCTTAAAATCTTGGCGTTTAGTTAGCTTAAAAACTCATCGCATTACACGGTTGTATCGAGGGCGAGGTAAGTCTCAAGCATCGCTATCTTATGGTACGATTTTATAACATCTCAAAGATTCATTCAGCCTATGTCTGCCGCAATTCTTGGTGAGCTTATACTATCGTAACTATCTTCCATAAGGACATGTACTTCGTTGTTCAGAACGTGAATTTAAGCATTTCTCTTCAAGGTGGGTTCATATAGGTTTTCTATGTGCATATTTAACGTTAAAATTCAATAATTCAATTATATCCATGTAGCATTAATCTTGTCCTTGAATCTATTAAGATTTAGTCTTCCATTATAATAATCACCTTAAGTTACATGTAATTAATTAAACTGATGAGTTTTTTTCTCTGTGGACTTGAGGGAAAGTCTCCGCGATGTGCCGTCCAATTCAACGAAAGTCCTCAAACTTTTTTTTTGTATTGCGGGAAGTTCTCCTCCTTCGCTAATTAAACTGTGCGCGATTACTGACCAAATCCTGCTCAAAGTTTGTTCAAGTTCTACAAACCTACCCTCACTTGATATGTGTTAGCGTCCTTCTGTTTCTGATCTAATTCTCGTTGATAAATCTCACACGTCACGCAGGAAATTTATTCACTTATTTGTAATAATTTGAGTGACAGCACACAGTAGAAACAATTCATGTTGGAGGGGGAAATGTAAACTTACCTGAGTTATCGAAATGATTTCTTCTGTAGAATTTGATGAAACAATATCTGGATCTAGTTACTCTATGAAGCAATACCATCTAGCGCGGCTTCACTATCCTATGCATATGAAGACGCTGCAGGAGCCCTTCACTCCAAAAATGAGTCCAAATAGCGATGCTTCTTCTGCCCTTCTGTACGTTGGTCGTTCTGACAAAAATTTCGGCCCGTTAAAAGAGCGTTTTAGTGCTACGTACAGAAAGCGTGCCACTATTGAGACACTACTAACCCATTAATATGCCACTAACCCATTAATTTTCTGGGTGCGGTTAAGCTATAGTCACGCGGGTTCTTAATGAAGCGTTCTACGGGCGAGAGAGATACAGGGAGCTACGAGAGAGAGCCTCACTAGGGCTATGCTACGACTCTATATAAGGCGGTCATCGTATCAGGAGTTTCATTGAAGCTTGTCCCTGATTAAACGACGCAAATTAAACTTAATGAGTCGTTAGGGGTTCAGCGGTTCCTGAATTGCCGTCTTTCGTACAGCCTTCAATTCTTGAGTGTCTCTCTTTGTTCCGTGATTTTGTTGCCAAAAATACGATGAGTGTGAATTTTGCATGCACCTTGGCATCAGGTGGGTGCCAAAGCACAGGTAGGCAGGACAGAAGAGCTTTTACTTAAATTATCCATTTTTTTCTGGGGGAGGCCTACACTTTGGGGAAATGTCAAGCGAGTTTGGTTGCTAAGCACGTTCAGAAACTCGCAAATATATAGGCAATCGACGTGGGTTGTTTGGGTATGTGTTCAGAACAGAGTATAATAATTAAGAACGTATATCGTGATCAGGAATGCATATCTTCATCAAGAACGTATTTAACATTTAAGGATGTACTCGACAGTTAATAATATAGTATCATGCTTTCGGTGATTGAACTGAACGATATTGTTTTGCTATTTGATGCAGAATTTTTGATTTTCCATTGTATTTTTTGGAAGAAGTATCATGGTCACCACGTCATGTTACCTGCATTACTGAGGTCGCAGGTAACCGAGGTCGCAGGTAACTGAGGTCGCAGGTAACTGAGGTCGCAGGTAACTGAGGTCGCAGGTAACTGAGGTCGCAGGTAACTGAGGTCGCAGGTAACTGAGGGCGCAGGTAACTGAGGTCGCAGGTAACTGAGGTCGCAGGTAACTGGGGGCGCAGGTAACTGAGGTCGCAGGTAACTGAGGTCACGGGTAACTGAGCTCGTCACCGCTGGACCGAGACGAAGGCTGTCACTGAAGCGACTCACTCCGCAGAATTGCAACTGCTGAGCGAGCAAATTCTCTTCTGTTGTTGGGTTCGCCTACAAAGCCTCGGCTTGAATTTTTCAGGCTTAGAACTGATATTTATTTACGAGATGTTGATGATAAACCCGTCGTTCGATGTCGTCAATTTATGTTTAAGAAATGTAGTTCACAATATCTCGAGGAGTTCTTCTCAGTTTAAGAATAAAGGCTAAAACTAAAAAAGTTGCATAAAACATTTTACTGAATAAAAGTCCTAGATAAACAAAACAGAACGTTTGGGCATAGCCCGAAAAATTCTGTTTTGTTTATCTAGGACTTTTATTCAGTAAAATGTTTTATGCAACTTTTTTAGTTTTAGCCTTTATTCTTAAACTGTTTAAGAAAATCATTGCAAATTCGGCCGATCATTGTTTGCCAGCGGGTGAATTTATAACGCAACCGGTACAATATTTACGGTATTTTTGAAACACTTAAACATTCCTGTTCTGCTTATTATATGCTTTGGTGGCTTTATGAGATCTTTTCCAGTAGTCCTTCGAGGCTAAAATTATCAAAGTATCCCAATTCAATGAGATAAATTTAACATTTCTATTTCTTCGGCATCTTCAATATGATCGCCGCAGCGCCGTCTGGAAAAATAAAAGTATGGATACCATTTGGTTGCAGTGCGCAAAGTGGAAACGTTCTGGAATTGATGATGGTTTTAAAACTCCCAAATCTTCTAGTAAATTTCTTCCTAGTAGAAATTCCATTTTCTATTAAATTCCTAATTACCTAATCCGAAGCCCTGCTCTGTATACGACGAACGTGAGGACTATATTATGGTATGCATATATTTCTATCGTAAATGTGGTATGATCGCCATAAATTGTGTGACTGGCATACAGGGCCGCTACCATGCCTCAATTAGTGGCATGCATACCAAAGCAGACCCTGAACTATCTCCCCCCCCATAGTTTGCATTCATCAATCGCAAAAAGCTACATTTTTTATTTTGTGATAGACAGTGAAGGTTGTTTACGTGCTCGACTATTGGATGTCTGTAAATCAGTGTCGAAACTTACCAATTCCTAAACAGACGCCTGTCTTGCTCGTTCATTTGGTATGGTAAGAAACATAGTTACATAAAATTATTAGGAAATACTTGCCTGGTAAAAATAAAACTCGTAATTTTTCTGGGAAATAATTGGGAATGGTTAATTATTTAAAATCGATGCCGTGGGCTTTATTCTTTCCCAATGTCTCACTGAATAACGCTAGCCCCCCAGTTTTACTATGTATTGATCTGTGTGGCGCCATAACTGTACAGCTTCTCTCTATATCTTAATTCAGCCTTTGGTTAGGTTCATCCACAAGCCCATAGCGAAATAGAGGATTCCTAATTCCATGATAAATGCATAATACCCAATCGAACAATTGGTCCACTTGAGCACCAATGGACATTTTGTGGTCGCAGATCTGTCAGCTATAACTCCGAATAAGCTATAGATGATGTTTTAGATCATAGCTCTCGCTTCTCCTGCGGGTAGGTTGTTTGTAAACCTCGGCGCTTCTATAGATTACTTATGTTCAGGCTAGTGCATATGGGCATTTCATTCTGTTTCCTCTTGGATTTTCACAGAATTCTAGAGAATTAACGTTAGTATTGCCCTGTTTTCTTGTGTCACTATTCTTGAGAGATACTTTGTTTCTTTTTGTTGATTACTTTGTCAAAGATCACAGGAACGAGGATGTTGTTTCGTTGGATGAAAAAAGAATAAAAAATTGAACTGCTTAAACACTTTACCTTTCCTTCTTGTACTATTTATTGTAACAGTTTTGGCAAGTATGCATATCCAGTTGGCTTCACTCTGTGTTGAGTCTGCCGTTGCAAATGAGTGTTCGCCCAACTCGTTATAATAGCCATAACAAATTTCTTTCACGGCTTCCTGTTGCATCGAATGCTTTCAGTCTCAATTAATTGCTTGATTACTTCCTGATTTTGAGTGTGGGTCACAAGAATAACATAGTGATGTCGGCGCTGAAGTGTAGGAAGGACTTTCACTCATCCATGATGTCTCATTTATTCATGATAGCGGTTACTTTTACTACACTGTTGCCGTCCGTCGTCCATAGATGAATTATTCTCAGCTCCGAGTTAGCACCTGACCTTTTTCTCAAGTTGTCGATGACTTTGCGTAGCTTTGCAAGCTAGTCCCCCTTGAATAATTGATTTTTTTTTCTGAATTTTCTGTAGAGAATATTTTTGCTGCTAAGGGGGACTGTGTCATACGCTTCCCTCGCATACTCTGAAGCCGGTGAAGTCATGAAGTGAACGAGTAAAAAATCTGATCGTTGTCAGTTCTTTTTGCAGCTGCGGAACTCGCTTCAGATAGGATTCACTTCCTTATAGTGATCATGATTACGTCTAATTAATTATGATTGTTATCATGATTAACACGAATTAATAATCATGCTACGGCTTGCGTATTTTCATTCTTCGTCAGAAGATACTGAAATCTCCGGCGTAGAGTCCGTAGACTTACGCAATTTTTATCTTTACGCAAGTTTATCTTTAATGCAGGTTTCATCGAAGACCAGAGAGTATATCTTATTGACAATTTTCTTGTTGCTTTTTTTTTCCAGAAAATTTTCTAATTCGCCGA